TGTGTGTGTGTGTGTGTGTGTGTGCGTGTGTTTGCCTGAATTTCAGTGGTATTTGAACATATTTTGTGAACATGTTTTTCCATGACTTTGAATATTTATTGTTTAAATGAATAATAAAACATACATAAAAATGCTAATGAGAAAAAGATTGTGACAGAGCACCTTAAGACAGGTCACCTGTCACGGTTGACAAGACATTGACACATGGTCACAAATAGTTGTGTAAAGTTGTACATATTTGCAGAACAATGACAGCCTGGAGGACAGCATCATTTAAATAGTTCAGAGGGAGTGTGTTTTCAGGGATCACACCAACTTGCTGGCTTACATTGATATCTGGCATATTAACTGATTTAAAGTCCCAGGGACATTCTTTTGGAACCTCTGTACTGAACTGGCTCCAGAAACATGAAATGTGTTTTGGTGCCAGTTAAAGCCCTCACAACACCCGGGTTCCTTGCATCCAAAGCCTTTCAGAGAGAGCTGATTGACAGGTCAAGTATTTTATAATCATTCTGGAGCTGTACCATGCTAGCTACATGTGATGGCCTTTTCTGCATAATGTCCAGATATATCCAATTTGAAACGTCTCCCTGTCCTCTCCTGCAGAGGAACGCACTGAGCAGAAACATACTGATTCTCTCCCTGCTTAAAGCCAATGGCTATAATTGAACACAAAGTGTAAAATTTAAGACTACATATAAAATTTAGTTAATGAGTCACAAAATTTCCTTCAGTTCATTATTCGTTGGGACATGTGACAGAAAGAAACACGGAAATATGTCTGTATGGTAAATCTGATTTTTTTTTTTGCATTACTCACTTTTCCAGTTTGGTCTGTATCTGTGAGTATTATGAAAGCTACACACTCTTTGGTACATGAGACCTCTGAGCTACAAGTGAAAGATCAATCCCCAGTTTTGAAACGCAAGTTGGAAATGATAAGTGTAAGTACTGTGCAAATTTGTTGTCTCTATGAGTGGACCAGTATGGTGTGAGAAGGTTTGATAGTACTGTATATGTGAGAGCAAGTATGAATTATGGCCTAAACGGCCTCTCATAGAGTGGAATTAGTGTGGGAATCACTTTAGCTATGAGTCAACCATTAGTTGTTGGAGTCTGTACCTAAAAGAGTTCAATCTCCAGTGTGAACCAGCAGAAAGAAGCTTCACTCCTGCTTCTCCTGGATAGTTGTAGCTCAGATCCAGCTCTTTCAGATGGAAGGGGTTGGCATTCAGAGCTGAGGCCAGTGAAGCACAACCTTTCTCTGTGATCAGACACCCTGAAAGCCTGTAAAACCAACAGGAGAAAAATGTGAGATAATTGTCCGTTCTTTCTGTTTGATGTTTTCTATTTTACTCACATATTCATGATTTAAATGAACTTCCTAACCTGAGAGATTCCAACGTGCAACATGGACTCTGCAGGCCCGAACACAGTTCCTTCACTCCCGAGTCCTCCAAGTTGTTGTTACTCAGATCCAGTTCTTTCAGAGTGGAGGACTGAGAGCTGAGGATTGAGGCCAGGACTTCACAGCTTCTTTTTGAGAGATTGCATCCACTCAAACTGAATACAGGTTTAAAGAAATTTTTTTTAATGATTAACTGAATGTTGGATGCAGTATTGTATTTTATACCTTCTGATCATTTCAGCCTTTAAGGTTAAAGCTGATGTCTTATCATGTGTTCTTTCTTTAGTCTAAACAAAGATGAGTTATGTTCTGATGTAAAAGGTAACACCTCCAGAGGTGTAACCAGTAAGAGATGTACATTATAAGGTCAATTCATTATTATACTAGAGAGAAGTTGTTAGTGTTTTGCAGAGTCTCTGCTTTAGAGCAGGCTGCTCTGTTTTGTTTTGGTTTTAGCTCAAGGTCTTACGCTGAGGCCTGGTGAGTGCTGTACTGTGAACCTGACTGGAGTCAGAAGATTGAAAATAAAGTTTTCAGAAGAAATCCAGTGGATTCCTGTTTATTCAGACATATCACTTGGAAAAACACATTTTTCCCTACAGGTTAATGTAGAATAGAAAAGAAAAGAATGTAATTTCCTGCATTAGTGAAGATTAAATTGAGTATAATATTTGTAGACTCACAGGGCTTTGTTGGCGACTTTGATTACTGGCAGCAGCCTCATGAGAGCCTCCTCTGAAGCAGAGTATTTTTTTAGATCAAACACTTCCAGATATTTTTCTGATGACAGTAAAATAAAGATCAGAGCTGACCACTGAGCAGGAGACAGTTTATCTGTGGAGAGACTTCCTGATCTCAGGGATTTCTGGATGTCCTCCACCAGAGAACGATCATTCAGTTCATTCAGACAGTGGAACAGATTGATGCACTTCTCTGATGATAGATTTTTCTCAATTTTCTTTTTGATGTAATCAACTATTTCCTGACTAGTTGTGGAACTACTCGTTGTTTGTGTCAGCAGACCAAGTAGATAAGTCTGATTGGCCTCCAGTGAAAGACCCAGGAGAAATCGGAGGAACAAGTCCAGGTGTCCATTTGCACTTTGTAGGGCCACATCAATGGCACTCTGATAGAACTTTGTCACTGGAGAAACAGCTTTTCTTGCTTTGGACATCTTGGAGGTTTTAAGGGCTTCATCCATTGGGTTGTCACCAGATGTGATGAAGATCAGATGGACATGAAGAGCAGCCAAAAACTCCTGAACACTCAGGTGGACAAAGCAGAACACCTTGTCCTGGTACATCCCTCTCTCCTCTTTAAAGATCTGGGTGAACACTCCTGAGTAAACTGAAGCTGCTCTGATATCGATGTCACACTCTCTCAGGTCTGATTCATAGAAGATCAGGTTTCCTTTCTGCAGCTGCTTAAAAGCCAGTTTTCCCAGAGATTCAATCATCTTCCTGGTCCCTGGACTCCAGTGTGGATCTGTCTCAAATCTTCCATCATACTTGAACTTCTTAACTTTGGTCTGAACCAGCAGGAAGTGGATGTACATCTCGGTCAGGGTGTTGGGCAGCTCTCCTCCCTCTCTGGTCTTCAACACATGGTCCAGAACTGTAGCAGTGATCCAGCAGAAGACTGGGATGTGGCACATGATGTGGAGGCTTCGTGAGGTCTTGATGTTAGAGATGATCTTTTTGACCTGGTTATTATCTCTGAACCTCTTCCTGAAGTACTCCTCCTTCTGCGGGTCATTGAAGCCTCTGACCTCTGTCACCATGCCAACACACTCAGCAGGGATCTGATTGGCTGCTGCAGGTCGTGTAGTTATCCAGAGCTGAGCAGAGGGAAGCAGGTTCCCCCTGATGAGGTTTGTCAGCAGAACATCCACTGAGGTGGACTCTGTAGTATCAGTCAGGACCTGGTTCCTCTGGAAGTCCAGAGGAAGTCGACTCTCATCCAGACCATCAAAGATGAACACAGCATGGAACTTGTCAAATCTGTGGATTTCTGCTTCTTTGGTTTCAGTAAAGAAGTGATGAACAAGTTCCACCAAGCTGAACTTTTTCTCTTTCAGCACATTCAGCTCTCTGAAAGTGAATGGAAATAGGAAGTGAATGTCCTGGTTGGTTCTGTCTTCAGCCCAGTCCAGAGTGAACTTCTGTGTTAAGACTGTTTTCCCAATGCCAGCCACTCCCTTTGTCAGGACTGTTCTGATTGGTTCATGTCTTCCAGGTGGGAGTTTAAAGATGTCTTCTTGTCTGATGGTTGTTTCTGGTCTGTGTGGTTTCCTGGATGCTGTTTCAATCAGTCTGACCTCATGTTCATTATTGACCTCTCCAGTTCCTCCCTCTGTGATGTAGAGCTCTGTGTAGATCTGATTCAGAAGGGTTGGGTTTCCTGCTTTAGCGATCCCCTCAAACACACACTGAAACTTCTTCTTCAGGTCACATTTCAGTTTACTTATGCACAGTGGTGCAATAGTTTCTGAAAGTTCAAACGGCAAAGAATATTAGGTAAAGGTTTAAACAAACATTTAAATTGTTGCTGTCATTTAAGTTCTCTTACTACTGTACAATAAGTCAGCCAGCTGCTCCTGCTTCATCATCCTCAAGAAGTTCAGTGTAATATTTAAAAATGCCTCTTTGCTGCTCATCCTCTGTGTTTCCTCTGCTTCCTGTGACACATCCTCATCATTCCTCTGACTGCCTGAATATGTTGTGTGACCTGGATGAAGAACTGTCAGGAACTTCTTCAGTTCATTCTTCACAAAAGACACAATATTCTCTTCAAGAATCTGAAAGAACAAAGTTTGAAATAAACAAAACACAAAGTGGTAATATAATGACTGAAAATCTTCTGAGACATAAATTCTTTCATTTTCTGCTGGGACTGAGTCACAGTGGGCAGCAACTCTCAGACTTTCCCTCTCACCAATTACCTGTTCAAGCTCTTCCAGACTGATTCTGAAGAGTTCCCAAAATAAAAATATATCTCTGCAGCAGGTTCTGGGTCTGCTCGGAGGCCTCCTTGGAATGGGCTATGTCCAAAACACCCTCCTAGGAAGGTAACCACAATACATTCCTACTAGATGCCAAAACCACCTCAGCTGTTTTTATTTATTGATTCAGAGAACCAGAAACCCTGAGATTATCCTAAATAGACAAGCCCCTCATTTTGTCCCCAAGGTGAGTTCAGCCACACTGCAGAAGAGGCTCATTTTAACCACTTGTATTAACAAACTTTTTTTTTCACTACCCATTGCTCATGATCATAACTGGTTGGTAACTAGACGGACTGGTGAATGTAAACTCTGTGTTTTGGTGAAAGACCAGTGAATATTTCTGCAGATGTTGCCCTAATCAAAGCTCGGTTCTGCTGCTCATGCTCAAGGCCTTAAAATACTTGAACTCTTCAGGTTGAACCAGAAACTTGTTCACTTTCTGATGAGGATTATAGCCTCAGACTTGGAGTTACTGATTTTTGTCCACAATAAACTACAGTTCATCCCAGTTCCTGCTGCTGGTCACCGTTTGATGAGGTCTACAGACTGGAAACCCCCAACCCCTTTGGGTGAAATTCTGTTTGACACATCAACAGTTTATCAACTATGGACAACTATGGAGAGCCATTTCATTCTAAATGAAACAAAAAACAAACAAACAAACAAACAAACAAATAAATAAATAAATAAATAAATAAAGACATGCTAAAAAAGTATTACAATTTTATTGATTTTGTTTTGTTTCACAGTGACATTAATTAATTTGATGGAATATTCATTACCTGCTATACACAAGTATACAAGTATAACGTTTTTGTCCCTCACCAATATCAAATCTGACAATGGATTCAGAAGAATACTAAAAACTCTACAAAATTACACCAAAATTGTGATCATTTCAAGTAAGAATAATGTAATGTAATGTACAATGTAATAATGTAATGTAACAGTAAATGGCTAAAATGGCGGCGCACTGTGTTGCAGCTGCTTCCCTAGCTCCCGGAGATTCCAGTGTTTTTTATATTCCTAAATGCCTTAAGCGCATAACATACAGCCGAACCGAGCTTTTTAAAATAAAAGAAGGCTCGGCTACAAAAGCAGCAACCACAGATCAACATCTAAGAACAAGACTCGGCAGACTGCAGTTGCTAAAGACACCAGAGTGGTGAAGGAAAAAAGGCAGGAGGAAGTGCTGCGCCAGACGGCAGAAAAGGGGCCATAGAAGCAGTGTGTTGTGGAGGCTAAAGAACGCTCACAGGCCGCTGATTCCTTCACTGTTCCTGGCCAATGTCTGCTGTCTTGACAACAAGTTGGACCTTCTGCGGATCAGGATGAGTGTTTACGATGAGATGAGGAACTGCGCTGTACTTTGTCTCATGGAAATCTGGCTTAATCACACCATGCCGGACTCAGCCTTCCAGATCGATGGCTGGACACTTTTTTGAGCGGACCGCAACCAGCTATCAGGAAAAATGCGTGGAGGCGGTTTATGTATGTATATGCGGTCAGAGGGTCCGGTGGCACCGGTGCATGGCAGCCTCGCTTCTGTCAGTCAGCCCCAGAGCAGCTGTGGCTACAGTGTAGTTTGCCATCATCAGTTTGGGAATGTGAGTGTGAATGGGTGAATTGTCTGTTAGTGTAAAGCGCTTTGGGGTCCGGAGGGACTTGAAAAGCACTCCATAAGTTCAGTACCATTTACCATTTACCATTTATATAAACAACAGTTGGTGCACACAGCATGCTGATCAATAGCCACTGCTCCGAGGACTTAGAATACATGACTGTGAATTGTCGGCCACACTATTTACCCCACGAGTTTACGGCAGTGTTTGCTGTCGCTGTTTTCATAGCACCGGATGCTAATGCTAACAACGCACTGAAGGAGCTGCATGACAACATTAACTCCTCCAGAATAAGCATCTGGACACACTTCATGTGGTGGCAGGAGATTTCAACCATGTACATCAGACAGACACTTTGCCAAGGCTATTTCAGCATGTCAACATTCCACCACCGGGGAATAATATATTAGACCATGTTTACACCAACATAAAAGATGCATACAAGGCCATGCCCCGCCCCCACCTTGGCCTCTCCAACCACATTTCCATCATACTGGACCCTGCATACCATCCCCTGATGAGACGCTCTAAACCCACACAGAAAACCATCACTGTGTGGCCAGTGACTCTGACTCTGTGCTGCTGGACTGCTTCAAATGTAGGCTACAGACTGGCAGGTCTTCAGGGATGCTGCTGTGCATGAGGGAGAGCTGGATCTGGAGGAGTACACATCTGCTGTCCTCGGATACGTGAGTAAATGTGTTGAGGATGTCACCACCACCAGAACTGTGATGTGTTACCCCAACCAGAAACCAAGGATGAACGCAGAGGTCCGAACTCTGCTGAAAGTTAGGGATGCTGCCTTCAGGTCTGGTGACTCACAAGAACTCACAAGAGCCAGGAAGGAGCTGAGAAGAGGAGTTAAAAGGGCCAAGGCAGCATATGCCCAGAGGATTCAGGGCTACTTTTCCTCCAAGGATCCATGGAGCACATGGAACGGCATCAGATGCATCACAGACTGTAACACCAGAGATGTACAATGCCCGAGAGACCCCCATCTGCCTGAAGCTCTAAAGGGCTCGACACACGGGCAGTGACAAACTACAGCGATTAACGACCGTCATCGCAGCCAGGGTGAAACCCGACACACGGGACGCGATAGCGATCGCAGCGTTGCGAATCGCGCTCTCAGATCACTTGTCTTCACAAAATTTGATTGGTTCTTGACTCTGAAGGCGGGTGTGCATTACGGACGTGTAAACTAAACAAATCTTGCGATGCTAATGATATTGAAAAACAAACACACATCAAGATACAGTTTTATGAGGAAAAACAACATAAACTTCAACCTGGTGCCAATAAATTCCCACAAAGCTTTTAAGTAATCACTTGGGGAAAGTGTTAGCTAACTGCAGTGTGTAGCATACTCTCCTCTCATTGGTCAGTCAATGAAACCCTCGCTGATTGGTTGTACGCTAAGCGACAGCGACAAAAGTTGAACATTTTTCAACTTTCATATGTCGAGTCGCAAGCTCGCGTGTGCACGTCCATGTGTACGAGCGTGAAATTTCACATGCACTATTTTCGCTAGTCACTTAGCTGGAGGAGGGCAAGCGATTGTCGCCTCAACGCACAGGCTCCATAGAAAATGAATGGAGAGTGAGTGACGTCGCTTCCCGTGTGTCGAGCCCTTAAACAGGTTCTATGCCCGCTTTGAGGACCCCAACACCCCATCCAGCACCAGACTCACCCCCACATCTGATGAAGAGGCATTCAACATGACTCCTGCAGAAGTAAAAAAGACTTTAGAGACCTTAGGAGGATAAACCCCCACAAAGCTGCAGGCCCTGATAACATCCCCGGGCAGGTGCTGAGGGAATGTGCTGAACAGCTGTGTGAAGTGTTGGTAGATATCTTCAACTCCTCCCTCATCCAGGCAGCTGTCCCCATGTGCCTGAAGACCGCCACTATCATCCCGGTCCCCAAGAGCTCAACAGCAAGGGGTCTGAATGACAATCGGCCAATAGCACTCACGCCAATAGTCACTAAATGCTTCGAAAGACTGGTTATGGCCCACATCAAAGCCACCATAGATGTCACTGAGGACACACACCAGTATGCATACCGGGAAAACCGATCCACAGAGGATGCCATTGCCTCCGTGATCCATACTGCCCTCACCCACCTGAAGAGGAGGGATTCATATGCAGCCCCAGACTGCTCAGAGACTGTGCAGACCAGCTCTGTCCGGTGGTCCTGCACATCTTCAACCTGAGCCTGAGTCTGGAGAGGGTCCCTGATCTGTGGAAGACTTCCTGCGTGGTTCCAGTGCCAAAGATCACACATCCCAGGGAGCCAACCACTACAGACTGGTGACTCTGACTTCTCATCTGATGAAGACCATGGAGAGGCTCATCCTGCACCATCTTAGTACTGTGGTGAGCCCAGCACTTGACCCCCTGCAGTTCGCCTACCAGCCCGGCATCGGGGTGGAGGACGCTGTCATCTACCTGCAACACCAATTTCTCTCTTACCTAGAGTAAGCAGGAAACACTGAGAGTCATGTTTTTTGACTTCTCCAGTGCTTTCAACGCTATCCAGCCTGCTCTGCTGAGAGGGAAGCTGGAGGGAGCCAGAGTGGATGGGCAGCTGACAGCATGGACCATCGACTACCTCACCAACAGACCACAGTATGTGAGGCTCCGCGACTGTGTGTCTGATGTGGTAGTCTGCAGCACAGGGGCACCACAGGGCGCGGTCCTCTCACACTTTCTGTTCAGTCTGTACTCATCAGACTTCAGGTACAACTTGGACCACTGCCACCTTCAGAAGTTCTCGGATATTCGGCCATCATTGGATGCATATCAGACGGGAATGATGAGGAATACAGGGGAGATCATCAGTGACTTTGTTGGCTGGTGTGAGACCAACGCTCTCCAAATCAATGCTAGCAAGGTGAAGGAGATGGTCATAGACCTCAGGAGGAAACCCCCCCCCCACAGCACCGGTGAACATCCTGGGAAAAGACATTGAGACAGTAGACTCTTACAAGTACCTGGGTGTTCATCTCAACAACAAGCTGGACTGGACTACGAACACAGACATCCTGTATAAGAAGGGCCAGAGTCGACTCCACCTACTGAGGAGACTGAGGTCCTTTGGTATCTGCATGGCTCTGTTAAAGACATTCTATGATATGGTGGTAGCATCTGCCCTTTTCTATGGAGTGGTCTGCTCGGGGACTGGATGTACTGAAAGGGACAGGAATTGGATGGACAAACTCATACGGAGGTCAAGCTCTGTGCTGGGATGTCATCTGGAGCCTGTGGTTGTGGTGGGTGAGAGGAGGATGTTGGCAAAGC